ACACACACACACACACACACACACACACACACACACACACACACACACACACACACACACACCGACTAACACTGATACTGACACACAAGTCAATCAAACATACACTCTCGGTCCCTCCTCCTGTCAGTGAACTTGTTGATTTTAGGTGTAAAATTAAAACCAATCACTCATCGATACATGATCGATATTAGAGTATCAGGCCGAGAGCGCGCTTATATAAGCTCAACATTCAGGCCTGCAGTTGTATAATCGTGCGCGCGCAGGTCAACATTTCCCATCTCATCCGGAGCGAGAGCGGGGAGCGGAGCGCAGGCACGCCGGGAACGACCTCATCCTCCCCGGCCAGCCTGCCTCCATCCACCCGCTCCCGGCCCCGGAGTGCAGGCTCAACACCTGCATCCGGATAATACCTGGTGGCGGGAGCGCGCCCGCCTGCGCTCACCTGTCCGGACAGGTAGAGCAGGCAGGTGAGCAGAGCGCATTGATTGGAGGAGAGGAGGAACGGCCACCTACCGGCAGGCTGCTCGGTTCCGGGAGGAGGCGGCAGGGAGGCAGGAGAGCCTCCCGCAGAGCGGTACCAGAGTCCGGCCACAGAGTCCCGCTGAGTCGAAGCGGAGAGTCCGGGCTGCGGGTCGGGCTGCTCCGGTGTGCGCGTGCTCCTCCCGCCGTCACCGATTTTCTGTCCGCATCACAAACAGCGCGAGAGCCTCGGCAGCACGCGCCACCTATCTGCGCGAGTAGGAATAATGACCCCCCCCCCCCACACACACACACACACACACACACACACACACACACACACACACACTTTAATTTGCAGGTTCCTGTGTCCATACGCGCTCACCTGAGCCTGCACCTGATTGGCTCACAGGTAGATTACCTGGACAGGTGTAGTCGCTATATGCAGAGGCACGCGCTGCGCTCACTGAGCTGCAGATCACAAGCACGCGCAGACTGTTCCGAACTCCGCAGGTGTTTCTCACGTGGAACAGTGGTCACGTGGTTCTTTTTTAGTTTGACCAACAGATGAAAGAAGCTGACGTTACATTTCAACAATGAAAAAAAAACTAATAAACTTTGTTAATAAAATATTATTTAAATTCGTAAAATCATATTTTAAAAAAGTTTTGACTTCAAAGAAAGAAAATCTAAAAATACGTTTATAACGATAATAAAATATGTCTTTTATTTTAATACCGGTAAAAATATGCTAAATTCACCATGAAATATATTTGTATACATTTATATTATCTGGTAAAAATGCACTTACTTTATTTAAAAGAGATGAAAATGCAACTGAATAAAGATGTAAACATTTTGTTTACAGTTGTTAAAAGAATCATAAAAAAGCAAAAATAGAAAAGAAATAAAAACAGAACTGAATGATTCTTTATCATCATCATCGTCGTTGCCCTGCAGCTCCACCAGAAATCCATCCGCAATCTTTGTGCTCAACACACACACAGTCGTGTTTTCATATCCTTGTGGGGCATATGCTTACCCTAACCATCAAAAAAGACCCCTAATTCTTAGCCTAAACCAAACCATAACTGTAACTCTGTCACTAAAACCACATTTTAAGCCTTAAAATGACCTTCAAACTTTGTCCCCATAAGGACTGCTGGTCCCCACAAGTATAGGAGCATGCCGGTGTTTGGTCCTCACACAGATGTCTAAACACACATACACACACACACACTCTCTCTCCCGTGATCCCCCCACCCACCTGATCCTGATCATCTGCCTGTTCCTGCAGGTGAACTTTGACCTTTCCTTTCTTGTCCAGCACCATCACCCATGTGATGGGTGGGAGGCGGAGTCACACAGGTGGGTGATAATCTGTGATGAGAAGTGGATTACCTCAGTTTGTGGTTTGAGTATGGGTGGGGGTGGGGGTATTAAAGGGGTATTACACTAATCACAGTTGTAAATGTCCCATTAGGCTTACAGCAGGAGCGTGGTCACATCTGGCTTCAGTTATCATCTGCAGCTGCATGGCAGCGAGAACAGGTGAACATCAGGTCATGTGACCTGTTAAAGGTTTGAGCTGTTTGTTCTGTACATAAAAACCTGCGGTGCTTAAAGTGAGGCACGCGGGCCCCCAGGGGCCCTGAGGGAGGTGTAAGTCAACCTGTGGCTAAAGACAGACTTCCTGATTTCCTGAGTTCCTCTATGCAGACAGGATAACTTCCTGGGAAGTGTCTGGACCTCTCTAACTCTCTGTCCTCCAATAGTCATTGTTATGAATATAGTTACAGCTATACTTACAGGTGCATCTGCATAGTTACAGTTACATCTACAGTTATAGTTAAAACTGTAACTGTTCAGATAAAATGTAACTATTCACATACAACTGCAACTATAACTGTAAGTATAACTGTAACTATAGCTGTAACTGTAGATGTAACCATATATACAGTTATAGTTACATCTACAGTTACATTTACATTTACAGTTATATAGTTACAGTTGCATCTGCATAGTTACAGTTATAGTTACACTTTTATCTAAAGTCATAGTTACATCTACAGTTGCATTTAGAGTTATGCTGTTAGTTATAGTTCTATAAATATATATACATACATTCTAGTTACAGTTACATTTACAGTTATAGTTACAGTTACATTTACAGTTATAGCTACAGTTACAGTTACATCTACAGTTATAATCACAGTTACATTTACAGTTATAGTTACAGTTACAGTTACATCTACAATTATATTTACAGTTGCAGATACTGTTATAGTTACAGATAGGAACAGGAGGCAAATCCAGAAACACAGAGCGTTACAAGGAAGCGTTATGTAGTTCCTAGAGTATTTAAAAGTAGAATGGGAGGCAGAGCCTTCAGTTCTCAGGCCCCTCTTCTGTGGAACCAGCTTCCAGTTTGGATTCGGGAGACAGACACTATCTCTACTTTTAAGATTAGGCTTCAAACTTTCCTTTTTGCTAAAGCATATAGTTAGGGCTGGACCAGGTGACCCTGAATCCTCCCTTAGTTATGCTGCAATAGACGTAGGCTGCCGGGGATTCCCATGATGCACTGAGTTTTTCCTTTCCAGTCACCTTTCTCACTCACTATGTGTTAACAGACCTCTCTGCATTAAATCATATCTGTTATTAACCTCTGTCTCTCTTCCACAGCATGTCTTTATCCTGTCTTCCTTCTCTCACCCCAACCAATCACAGCAGATGGCCCCGCCCCTCCCTGAGCCTGGTTCTGCCGGAGGTTTCTTCCTGTTAAAAGGGAGTTTTTCCTTCCCACTGTCCCCAAAGTGCTTGCTCATAGGGGGTCATATGATTGTTGGGTTTTTCTCTGTATCTATTATTGTACGATCTACTGTACAATATAAAGCACCTTGAGGCGACTGTTGTTGTGTTTTGGCGCTGTATAAATAAAATAAAATTGAATTGAATTGAATTGAAGACTTGAAGCGAATGATGAGGTGAACTCAGTCAGACAATAACAAGGGTTACAGGAAGTAAAAACTATAAAACACACGAGGAGTTAACCTTCCAAACGTCTGATATCTAATGTGTACAGCATCAAACATCAGTCCCATTAATCCCTGAGCAGGTTTACAGATGGACCTCCTCTGTCTGGGCTCCAACCTTCATCACTGTAGCCTCCTCTCCTACTTTGTCCTCCCAAGTAAAAGCTGCAGAGCTTTTCAGACGCTTTGACTTTCAATTAGCATGAGCGGCTCAGCAGGAGCCTGCAGGAGGATTAACTTGTACCTGTGAAAAGCCCGGCAGGTAGACAGAGCGCCAGGCTGTGGTGAAGGAGAAGGAGAGTCTTATTGCTCCTCTTTAATACCAGCAGAGTGAGCAGGATGAAGGATGTGCAGGCTCAGGTCCTCATTTCACCTCTGCACACTGTAAGAAACCTTTCATCAGATACAGTAAAGGTCAAAGTTCAGGTGTGTCCACACAGAAAATATCCAGGAGTTGCTTAGAGAAGCTGTGGGATGTCTGGAAGTATCTCCTTAAAAAGCTGCCACCTGAGACCTGGAGAACAGGAAGAGCAGGTATGGATGGATAACTGACCACAGCAAAGGCAGCTGAAGCTGTTAAGGAAAAATACATTTTCTAGTGCTTATTTGCTGTGTATTTTGTTTTATGTATTTTAATAACAGGCCTGTATACAAGAAGGGCAGCTTTGAATCACAAACTGTGTCCGAGGTTGTAAACTGCTTAGCCAGACTGAGACTGTGCAGAACAGTTCAGCTGAGTCATGGCGCTACAACAATCAGCCAATCACCGTGTTCCATCTTCATGTCACTGTGCACCCAAAGCACATCTGTGAGACCAACATCTGGACTCTCATTTCAGCCCTCTGCTCCACTCATCTTCACACAGACTTTCTATTCTATTTTAGTCTACTGACTTCTATTGTGTTTCTTCTTTGACCTTTGACCCCCACGTGGGGTAAATATTTCTACCTTAATCATGTGATACAGACAGATCTTTGAATCCCCCTCTCATCTGCAGGCACACCATCACAGTCCTGAACTTACACTGACTCAGTGTACATCTGAGTCAGTGTAAGCTTCAGCTGCCCATGGAAACCTGATGTGAGCACGAACACGAAACACCTGCACTGTTTAATCATCATGTGTTTGCCTTCACAACGGTGTGAGGTCATTAGGAGCTGTGAGGTCATCAGACAGGTTAAAACCAGTGACTGTGGAGAACATGGATGATCTAACAGCATTTATGTTACAAAACAACGACCGACTGTTTCAAACAGACAGCCTGAGGTGTTCTTCAGTAAACTGGACTACCCGACGTCCTTAGCTAGCTAACTAAGATGAGCACTCGGATATTCGGAAACTCGTTTTGTAAAGTGCGTTTAGCTAATCCGAGCAGGTGAATGAATTTACCCTGACTAAGGAAATGAAGAGAAACGCCC